AGAGGGCTGGTACCCCACTCCCAGTCCTTCTGTTCACGTGATGCACTTCTTGCTTCCTTCCAGTTCCTTTTTTGTTCACCTTTGGAGACATTGTTGACATTCTCCTAGCCTAAACAATTACCAAACTATTATCCTTTCACTGAATTTTAAAGTTGCCAATTGACTAAGTTTAGAGTTGCCAATTCATTGGGCCCAATTATTAATTTTATTGGTTTGAATTAATGCTTCTGCTTTACTCAAATTATCCTTTCATTAAAACAATATCCCACACACAACAATATTTGCAATACGTATTACTATTAAGACACACAAGACAAACTTGGACAGAACACAAACTTATGTCATGACACAGAACCATGTTTTGTTGTTGTTGTTGTTGTTTGTTGTTTTTCTTCAGCTGGCACCAGCGCTTTCTGATGATCTGAAAGACAAGAAAACATTTCTACCCCCGTCGGGGTGGCCCATTATAACTTAAAATACTGCCTAAGATCTGTTAGGGGAACCGGTTACAGCTAGTTCCTAACCACTTCCATGGGCGAGTGAGCTGCAACTTTCCGAGAACAAGGGTGCTTCATCGGTACTCGTGACCTTCCACTCCCTTGAATTACCTCAGAGTTGCTAGCCCTCCCCAACAGTGGCATGCCTCAGTTTCCCTCTTGTACCACAGATCAGGCTTAATGTGTGAAGCTATAATGCTTTTCCTTAGCACAAGGTATTGGTTGGCCAGTTACTGTTCCAGCAAGCCAAAAGCTTTTCTTTTCCTGAAAAGAATCATATGTACAATGTTACAGGCTTACTTATGAGGGACAGTTGGTTTCACACCTCTTCAGAACAGACAGACAGTCTGAACCCACTCACAACCTTGGATCTGAGAGCAAGCCAAAAGTGTTATCAACTCAACCTTGAACAGAGACACAGTGAAGTTTCAGAGTTTGAATTCTTAAAACAATAACTTGTTTTCTTAGAGAGCAAATTTAACCTTTAAGGGTGCAGATTTTACAAATTTACAATGTATAGATTTATTCTTTTATACAGTTAACCACTTAAGTGTCTGTAGCCAAATAGTTAAATTTGATTATTTCTTTGCCTAGATGGTTTGCACACTGCTTAAGAAAGAGACTGCAAAGAAACGAGGTGTCGTTTTTAAATCAGGTTTCCCTTCACATATTACAACAATCGCTTAATTCCTTCCACTATGCCTATAGGGCTCCAAACCTTTTGCCTTCCCCTTTTACATGCTTTTTCCTTCTTATGGTCCATCCTGATTCCTGCTAAATGGCTTTTCCCAATGACACAAGTTTATCCAGTATTAATTTGGTAAGGAGAGTGAGCTTTTCCATTAGCCCCCACACCTCCTAATTCTTTTCAATAGGTAAATCCAAATGTGTATTGCAGACAGCTATTACTAATTTTAAACTTCTCAGTATAGGGTTTCCATAACATCCATGCTGCAGCAGTTGATCTATGCTGCTGACTCTGGGGTGGATCACTCGACCATGTTCTGTAAGGAGATTTATGTTGCAAAATGTGTCTCCTTGTTAGGGCAGATTTAGCTTCTAGTGATTACATCTTCAAATTCAATTTCTACCAGTTGACTTTTAGGGTGGCTTTTAGGTTGCCTCCTCCCACGCCCTCAAGCCAATTATAACGGCGTGTGAGGGAAAGGTTTTAACTGTTTGTTATTTTTTTTCTGGATGGCCCCCTCTCATGCATTATAAAACATCCTTGGGTTGCCTGCGATTCCAGCCAGAGAGCCTGTAGTTATCTATTTGCTAACAAGGGCTTGAGAATCTCCTGAAGTTGCTTGGCAGCCTGTGACGGGGTGGACAGGCCCGGCACTGACGGACACGGGGTAGCCCAGGCCCAGCTGACTGAGAAGGCCCCGCCCCTCCGACCCTGCTGGGCATGCTCCCAGCAGAGGCCGGGTATAAAAACAGAGGGAGCTCTGCAGTCAGAGAGACTGCAGGGTGAGGGGGTGGACCAGGCTGGGATGGTGTTTCTGCAGCTGCTGAGACCGGAGTCGCTGACCCTGGCCCAGAGAAAGCAGCCACTGACCCAGGGCAGCAGGAGCGCGCCCACAACCCCGGCAGGTACGGCCTCAGAGGCGAATGGGCCCCAGGGGAACCGGGGCGCGGTAGGAAGCAGCCCAGGGCAAAAGATACAAAGTTTGGCTCGGCCTGTATCGGCCGGATTCCCCGCCAAGCCGTCCCCCGCAAAGCCGGCAGGAGCCATAGGCCCTGCCTAAAGGGCCCTGGGCTGGGACCTGGTGGAGAGGGAGGGCCCTGGTCCCCCCACCACCCATTCCCCCTGCCTGGGATAATCAAACCCTGTGGTCCTGGAGGCTTCTCCAAGCGGCTAGGCCTCTAGTACTGTATATGTCCTGAGAGAGGGGCCGAGACACGGGCCAGGAGAAGGGGGCCGCAACCCCCATCATGGCAGGACCAAACACTGTCTAGACCATCCCTGATAGACATTTATCTAACCTACTCTTATATATCTCCAGAGATGGGGATTCCACAACCTCCCTGGGCAATCTATTCCAGTGTTTAACCACCCTGACAGTTAGGAACTTTTTCCTAATTTCCAACCTAAACCTCCCTTGCTGCAGTTTAAGCCCATTGCTTCTTGTTCTATCCTCAGAGGCCAAGATGAACAAGCGTACTTTCTATACCAATATCTAAATCGTTGATGAAGATATTGAAGAGAGCCGGTCCCAAAACAGACCCCTGCGGAACTCCACTTGTTATGCATTTCCTGCAGGATTGTGAACCATTAATAGCTACTCTCTGAGTACGGTTATCCAGCCAGTTATGCACCCACCTTATAGTAGCCCCATCTAAGTTGTATTTGCCTAGTTTATTGATAAGAATATCATGCGAAACCATATCAAACGCCTTACTAAAGTCTAGGTATACCACATCCACCGCTTCTCCCTTATCCACAAGACTCATTATCCTATTAAAGAAAGCTATCAGATTAGTTTGACATAATTTGTTCTTTACAAATCCATGCTGGCTGTTCCCTATCACCTTGCCACATTCCATACCTTGCACACATTTTGTGGGAAAAGACGCAGTTTGTCTTGCATCTGACGAAGTGGGTCTTTGCCCACGAAAGCTTATGCTCCAATAAATCTTAGTCTATAAGGTGCCACAGGACATCTCGTTGTTTGTCAGAAGTACTTTGTCTCCCTTAAAGGAACAGGGTAACAGAGGTTTTCCTCGGCCGAAGAACAAAACAGGGCCTAGAGCATGGCTAGACAAGTTACACAGAGGGAAACACCATTGTTCTTCTCTTCCCTTAGATCCTGTCCTCCATCTAGAAACCTGTCTCCCTGGCTCTCCCTTACAGACACAGCTGCCAATCCATGCAGCTCATCCTTCTCTCAGAGCCCATCTCCACTAGGAAAACGGTTGCTAGGCCTCCTATCTCCCAACCAGATTGGGGTTAATCCCTTTCTTTGCTAGCAGCTAGATGGGGGTTATGTAACCTCCCAATATTGGGACCACTGAATGTTTCATTGAACTCCCCTGAAATCTGCCCCCTTTCCAAATCACCAGTATTGCAGTTCAGGGCATGAAAGGGAGATCCAGCCAATACAGATATTTCAGTCCCATGAGAAATTCCAAGATGTGTTTTCATGCTGCACTGAAACAAACCCGAGACCTTTTCAGTTATTGTGTGAAAATCATCAGGAGGTAGAAGAAAGGGAGCACAAGCACCCCCCCAAGAGTAGCATAGGGTACTCTCACATTCCTCTGGACAACACAGGCTGTGTCTGCACTGCAAGAGATGCAGTGGCACAGAGGCAGCACTGCAGATATGTTGCCGTAGCATTGTAGTGTAGGCACTACAGTGCCCTCAAGAGTTAGTGTCTATGAGAGAGGTTATGTCAACAGGAGAATTGTTCAATCCACCATAGTGCATCTACAGTGAGAGGTTGCCCTAAGTATGTCATGCATGGTATTATAGTTTTAAGTATAGTCTAGGCCAGGGGTGGGCAAGAGGCAGGTAGCGGGATGATTCCAGTTCTCCAAGTCACTGGATCTGACCCACAGCCACCTCGCCAGCACCCTCACTACAGGGCAGCTCACTCTGTTTTAAACAGCTCACTTCTGATTGCTCTGCATGCTGAGGAGAGATGGGAGAATTTGTGCACTATCCCTGCCCCCAGCAGCCAATTTCCAGCCAATAGGAGCTGAGAAATTTTGCTGGTGGCAGGATCAGAGTGAAGCCTCTTTCTTCCCCCATCCCAGTGCTGGTGCATAGCCACATGGAGCAGTCCACCCAGCAGACAGGCATGGAGCTTGTCTTAGGTTCCTGCTGGGCTGCTGGCTGGGAGCCGACTAGGTAAGAGTCTCCCAGCCACAGCCTGCCTCTGACACCCCCCATTTCCTCCCCCCACCCCGAACTACCTGCCCCAGGTCACCAGACCCTCCTGCCTTAGGTCACCACCCAAACCCTCTGTATCCCCCTCTCCCCATCTCCTCGAGGTCACAACTCTCTCCCAGACCCTGCACCCTCTCCTGTCCCCCTCCCCAAGGCCAGAATCCTCTCCTGCACCCATAACTCCTCCTGGACCCTGCAGCCCAAACCCCTGCCCCAGATTATAACCCCCCTTCACCCAAACTACCTCTCAAACCCCTCATTCCCTCCTGCAGCCCAGTCCTCTGTCCCAAGCTCCCTTCTGCACCCCACCCATTGTCATCGACTCCACGCCCCCGCCATAGAAGTGTGGCTCATGGCCACTTTCCAAAATCTTGGAGTGTCCCCTCCCCAATTAAAAATTATTGCCCATTCCTGGTCTAGGCCCTAGGTGCAAGTCCCTGATGTGAATGTGACATAGCAGGGACCTGAACTTGAGTCTTTTATATTTCAGGGGAATGTCCCATCCAGACTCTCCCTCTCCCTCTCTTTTTTTTCCCCAAAAGGCAGAAATCAGAGATTTTTCCCAACAAAACCTTCTTTACAACTGACATGTTTTCACAAAACATTTTGGATTTGGGAAATCAGCATTTTTTTATGAAAAAGCATTGAGTTGGATTATTCCCAACCAGATCTAATGATGAATCCCTGTGTCCATTAAATATGCCTGGGTACCTCTTTGTAATTTGCCTTGATTCTGAATGAGATTTGAAATTATTAATAGATGGTTGCAGTTTCAGTGAGTTCTTGCCATGTCCATTAAATCCCAGAGTGAGTCTAGAGTGCAAATGTTCAGCTGCCAACAACCAGAAAAGAAATTAACATCAGCTCTTGCTTTTCTCACCAGAACATGCCCTCTTGCTTAGAGATTTCACATGGTGAGAACCAGACTCCAATTTTCAGCCTATGTGTAGAAGACGATCAACAGAAAAGAGCAGTCACAGCAGCCTATCCCTGATAGCCACCAGCATCCTGATCCACACAGCCAACCAGCATCCAGAAGCCAGGAGTGTATTGGACCAGATGGTCATGGGGGAGGGATGTTGATAGAACACTGCTTTGATTTAGTTACTCATAGCCATTTCCTTCCCATTGCTTCAGGTGGTAGCCTTTTGAAAGTGAATCATGTTTAAATGTGTAATTTTGTTCAGTGACTGGTCATGTTAACCCCTGTGACCCAGTGTACCAGTTTATTCCCTCACACATCACACATGAATATTTTACTGATTCTGCACTCAGTGCTGATTCACCAAATTGACCTAGTCCTATACAGTTTGCTTTGTGCATTCAGTTTTTTAAGGAACAAATTCATTTACATATATAGTGACTGTTGAGAAGATTTATTCTCTGGGATTGTTTCTCTGAACTATTTCTCTCTTGGTAGATTTCCAAGTTTTACTTTCTATGTCACTTATGAACATAACATTTTAATAAAATATCTATAATGTAAGGAAGCCCTGTCTTTATGTGTTTGTCCATTTTCAATATGCAATTCATGTGGTACTGCTGAATATACCCTAGTCAGTGCTAACATAGGAATGATTCAATGTAAGCCATTACAAACAGTTGTAAGAATTCATGGAGTGGGGGAGAGGAAAAAACATTCCAAACATTAGCTTTTTTGAGCCCATAATGTTTCTGTAGGGCCTCACTTCTCATGCCTTTCTCTGTGAGAGCTTAGAAGTGGGTCTCATCCCATACACCTCAGATCTATGTAGACTTGAACGTGCATTTATACCGAGAAAATACAGTGCTGGGCAAGAAGAGCCAATCCTTGCACAGCATCTTCCCAGCTGTTATAGCCCTAGACTCTCCCAACAGACAGATGCTGAGGTTAGGGAGCTCCTTATTATTCCACTCCTGCCCTCATCCAGCAGAGGATGAGTGGAGAAAAGAGCAACTCCATTTTCAGCACTTGCAGCTGGAGTGCTATAGGGCCCAGCATTTTACATGAATGGAGATTGCCTCTCTCCTAGAACTGGAAGGGACCGAGAGGTCATTGAAGTGATTTTCCAAGGAACACAAACTGGAAAACAAAGTACAAGTTCCAAGTGAAACTTTTCCTTTCTCTATGTGTGTGCACACCTCTCCTCATCTCATTAATCCCAACAATGTCTATCTCTGTCACTTTGTCGCTCACATGCACACAAACACCTTCAAAACTTCTGCACCCTTTTTAATACTGTTGACTGATGAGCCAAGCAGCCTACCAAGTTTCCATACACAGGCTAGCGACCAGCACTGCCTTCCCACACCCATTTAGTCCTTGTCCTTCAGGAGTTTCCATGAGTTTACCATGCGGGGAAAGAGCTGTTCAGATGATGTCACTCCCTACCTTCTATAACTCTTTCATATGGTAGGAACCCTTTGTTCCCAGTGCAAACTGTGGAAAAATACAGGGAGCAAAATAGAGTTCAGTGTCCCATTGCCTGGTCACATGTCCTTGCTGCGTCACAGTGGCCATTACTCATGAGCTGGCTAAGCTCTTCCATGTTCCACTGTCATTGCTGACGGGCCATCAGCACTGTCTAGCTTCTTCATTGTCATAATAAAAGGCTAGTTGTCATGTCACCCAGAGAAAGCACATTTAAAATACAGATTCATAGACAATATCAATCACTTCAGGTACAAACATGATACAGGCACACAAATAGGATAATCATGGCCAACAAATCACAACTTTTCTATAGACATCTTGCAAGACGTATCTTATACAAGATGCAGCATAATTATGTCCTCATCATATAATTTTGAAGTATATGGGGTGCAGCATCACCCAGGCTGTGTCTAGACTACGTGCCTCTGTCGTCAGAGGCATGTAGATTAGACACATAGGCAAAGTCAAATGAAGCTGCGATTTAAATGATCGCGGCTTCCTTTAAATTTACATGGCTGCCGTGCTGAGCCGACAAACAGCTGATCAGCTGTTTGTCGGCTCAGCGCGCTAGTCTGGACGCTCCCCTGACGACATCAAAGCCCTTTGTCAGCAGCCCTGTTATTCCTCGTGGGATGAGGTTTACCGGGGCTGCCGACAAAGGGCTTTGATGTCGGCAGGGGAGCGTCCAGACTAGCGAGCTGAGCGGACAAACAGCTGATCAGCTGTTTGTCGGCTCAGCGCGGCAGCCCTGTAAATTTAAATGAAGCCACGATCATTTAAATCGCGGCTTCATTTGACTTTGCCAAACAAACAAATCTACATGGCTCCGTCGATGGAACCATGTAGTTTAGACGTACCCAGAGAGTATATATACATATGGTTGGGTGGGCATGTAGTTATATTTGTGCTTTCTGCAAATGCACTAGGTATCATTGGTATCATTCTTCTCTCACTGACACCAAAGTAAATGAGGAATAACTCCACTGAAGTCCACAGATATACACTGGTGTAAAACAGGTAAGTAAGAAGAAAATATATGTGGGGCATGTGAAACATGCCCTTAGGAGTTAATGAAACCTTTTCTGTGAATACATATTAAAAAATTATTTGCAGTGTGTTTTACCGATCAAGTTTCTAGCAAGAAATGTATTAGTAAATATAAATTAATATTCAGAGGGCACTCTGGCCAGGTCAGGGGTCTATCTTGTGGTGGCAGTCTCTGGTTGCCACTCCACCTATCGGTCACAGTGTAAGGGATAGAGGATCCCACTTGCTCAATCAGCTTCTGAGCCAGGGCCATGCAAGGGCTGACCATTCTGGAGTGCCTCAAGTCAGCCTCCCTGGGTCATTTCCTCCTTCCCTTTTTCCTACAGTAGGCTGCTGTTTATTTCAGTAAGCGCTACCCAGTATATTATCTACCCATCCCCAGCTCAATCTGGATCTTCTGATAGTGGCCAATGCTGGGTGCCCCAGAGGGAATGAACAGGTAATCAAGGGCTCCATCTCCTGTCACCCATTCCCAACTTCTGGCAAACAGTGGCTCAAGACACCATCCCTGCTCATTCTGGCTAACAGTCATTGATGGACCTATCCTCCATTAATTTATCTAGTTATTTTGTGTAACTGTCTGTATACACAACAATAGTTTTTTTTAAGAACGATTTTACATCAGTTCTGAGGTCTATGCCCCCACATCATTTAGAACCTAACTTCCCAGAGCTGAATCATTAGTCACTATTTGGGTACTACAGGCTTCTTAATCTCCTAAGTTTCTGTCATCAGGAATAGAAACTGAAAGGGAAAAAAGCATACTAGTAAAAGAAGACAGATTTATGGCTTTAGTTAGGGAGAACCATGGTTTCTGGCTGTGAGAGAGGTAAGGGTGCAACATTAGTTTATGTGTGTACCTGTTTGCAATATATGCCTATATGTGTGGCTATATCAATACGGTATACATGTGCATTTGTGTGTCTTCATGGCTACATACATTTATGTGTGCACATATGTATGTGCATCTGTATGAATGTGGTGGATTTATGTATATGAGATATGTATAGTTGGTAGATAAATCCAGACTGTTTATCACTCTGCACATGTTTATACATATATGGTATTTTTAGATACTATCTTTTCAGTAAAAAAAAATGAAATTACTGACAATGTTTTTCTTACATCAGTAATAAATAAGTACTTCTTACAAAGACAAAGAGTAAGAAAATACAGCAGAGCTGAAGAAGTCTTAGTTAAAAGGTATAGTATATATAAATACTGGTTTTATGAAAAGTTAAAGCAACAATTTTTTAAAAAATTAGCACATCCCATTGTGCCCATCTTTCCTCAGACAGTTCCGATTCTTTTGTGTGTCTGTGCATATGTGTTCATGTCCATCTGTATGGGCTTAGAAAACTTGCACCAGTGTAACTAAATATCTATATTGGTATAAAATCTCCACTCCTATGTCATTTCATGGGCGTATCTTATGGGCCTGACCCAAAGTCCATTGAAGTCAAGGGACGTCTTTTTGCTGATTTCAATTGTAGCCTATAGGGCCAGCCTGCTGACTTGCTTTATTCTGCCTTTATTTTTGGCTTATTCTGTCTTTATTTGTTGGTATGCTTGTTTGGGTTATTATATTTGGCTTGTATTTTGTATTAGATTGCTTTATTATGTTTAACTGTAATGCAAGGAAACTACAGGTTTGAATCCTGTATGGTTAGTGTAACATAGTAGGGATTCTGTCCACTCTTGTGGCCCTGGATCTGCTCTGGTTTTGCATTCACTGGTTGCTTTGTTGTGCTATGTGCTGTCACCCCTACTGCCCTGTGCTGGTCTGCATAGGCTTTGTGTGTGTCTGTGTGTGCAGTGGCCAATGGGGGATGGGTCCCTAAGGGGAAGTACATAAGCAATGGCCCAGCTGGCTTGACCGCTGGGCTAGGTGGAGGAATCTGAACAAAGCAAGAGGTGGGGCTGTCTGGGGGCTGAGTGACCAGTTGCTGGGAGTCTGAGTTAGTCTCGCCTGGGCAGGGCCGGCCCACAACATTTTGGCACTTGAAGTGGGGAGCTCAAATAACGCCCTTATGTCCCCTTGCTTGGGCCAAAACTTTGAAAGGTCTCAATTCTGCCTTTTTCCTGTTCTACTCCTCTCATGAGACTGCTCTGCTACCTACATACGCACCTGCAGGAGACACAATTTTCTACACTCTGGGTCCTAGTGACACACCCCACATTCTGGCACCTGAGGCGACCGCCTCAATTCGCCTCATGGTAAGGCCAGCCCTGCAACTGGGGGAAGATAAGAGCAGACTGAGAGCAGGAAAGGGGGGTTCAGGGCCCGTGAGCCCTTCCCCACAAGAGGAATAAGGCTTTCTGCTCTCTGTCTATGCTATCGCTCCTGGGCTTTGCTGTGTCCCGGAGGACCAATAAAACTTTCTACTCTACTGGCTGGGTGAGAGTCACATCTGGCTGCGGATGGGGGTACAGGGTTGGGGGCTCCTGACATGGCTGTCACAGTTAGCTTAAGCAAGTTGGCATAAGCATTGTTAAGTAAGCTATGTTCAGCATAGATACATGGCCTAACAGTCACCCTTTCAGATTTTGGGGGAATTTGACGTGTTTACCTATGCAAGTCAGAACTTGAAGGTGATCAGGGAACACTACAAGAACATGGAAGTAAAAACTTTAAACCAGTTTGGACAAGAAGTGGAAGGTCTGAAAATGAGCTAGTTGGCATTGATATGCTAGTCAATAGAACAAGTGCACTCTGATAAGAGGTGAGGAAATTAGATTTTGAAATGGAAGGCTGGATGTTAGCATGACTATCAGAACAGTGCTCAGGGCCTATGAGAGGGCAAACAAGCATGTGGAGGGAGCCTTTTCTTCATCTTGCCTTTGGAGTCTCTTAGCCATCTATGGTTAACTTGGCTACTCAGCGTTTGACCCATCAGCTTTATTATTCACTAGCAGTCTTGGCACTGAGGGACCTGGACCATTGGATTCATTTGGCAAGCCAGAAGCAAGGCTGGTCCTTTGCCTCTTACCATCAGGTCCCCAAAGGAGGGGTGTAAGTATGCTAATCTCAGAGTTTCCTAAAGGAACCCCCTATAGAGCACTAGTCCTTTTTGGTTCTGGCTTGGAGCTTATTCACTTATTTTAATAAAAGTTTCTCTGGATATGTTTTGTCCGGAGCCTGAGAGTTCTTGCCGTATGTCCTAAGGGTCCTTACAAGGCACTGAAGTCTCTATATTTAATTCTGTGTCATTTGATTCCAGAACAAGACTCATTATCTTTTGGACAAAGTGATTGGCGAGCCTTTATAATAATATTAATCTCTGAAAAGCAGGCAACACAATGGGCTTTGGATCAGGGCCTAGCCAAGTAGATGCTTGTATATGGCTGAGATGTAAAGAGTCATGAAAGAGACATGAAAACAGTGGACAGAAAAGTGCTATTGAAGGAATTTTAAAGACCTGAGGTTTTTTTTATTAAATATTAACTCCTGATATTTAGGGGTAAATTAACATTTAAAAAGTGCCCTCCATTTTTTAAATGTTTGTTCTCAGTGCTCCTGTGCTGTGTTTCTTCAGTTTTGTTTTTTGTTTCTCAGTACAAGTAACAAGAAATAGTTATTTTCTAATAGCCTAAATATATCTCCTGAAAATGCAATATAGCAACATTAAATAAAGCATATAATGTCAGGCAGCCCAAATGCCCAGTCATAGGAGGTCTTCTGTCAGACCAAGGGCCCCAGAACTGGCCTCTCTTTCAATTGTGCTTCATCAGTGTAACCATAGCTAGAAATCTGCTACCCACTTAGATGAGGATCACAGTCCATGGCAGTCAGAGCTTATCATTAATTACATAATTTTCAGATGTGTCTTAGAAAGACTCTGTTCTCTGGAGATTAAAGTAAAGATAACAACAGGCACCTCCTTGGACACCAAAGCCAAAATTCTCAAAGGTACGTAAGCACCTGACATCCACTGATTTCCATCGGTGTTAGATGCTTGAACACCTTTGAAGATCTGGGCCTAATTACATCTTGGATTATAAAGAGGATTTAGATGCTTCTCTAGAGGTTTAACATGCAGGGTTAATGAGATCACTGCAAACAAGATTCAGAAAGATTTCTTCTTCCCTAAGGAATATAAGAGATGTCATGCCAGAATTACATTCTGTTCAGTAGCATTGAACATGGGTCATCTGTTAGGACCAGGTTAGGAGACTCATGCAATTGATTTCTGTGACCACAAAAAGGCAGAGTTCCAGGATCTTTTTCCTGTCTTATTCTGCATTTCTGTGAGAGAGAAAATTTTCCAAATATATTTTCTAATAGGTCACTTAACACTTCTATATCCCCAAACCTGAACTGTTCCATAGAGGGTTCTGGAAAGAGGGATGGAAGATTCCAGATAGTCTCTCTCATTCACTTGTATTCTAAATCTTCTCTCTCTCTCTCTCTCTCTCTTTTTTTCTTGGTGTCCCTCTATTTATGTGTCTGTGGACCTGAGTCTCTCGTTTTGGCATCTGGAATTGGCTGTGTAGAACAGGGCCACTGAAAGTGCCATTAATGGACATTACGTTTTTACAGTGACTGACTCATATTTAAGGTGGAAGATACAGCCAAAGGAGTTTAAGGATGTTTATGATCCGAGTGCACTTCCTAAGGTTACTTATCTGCTCTATGAAATCAGATGGGTGAAGAGCACCAAGATATGGAGAAACTGGTACCGAAACACCTACACCCATCATGCTGAAGTCAACTTCCTGGAAAATGCCTTCAAGGAAAGATCTCTGAATCCTTTGACTCACTGCTCTGTCACCTGGTTCCTGTCCTGGAGTCCTTGTTGGAAATGCTCCCAATCTGTGGTAGAGTTTCGGAAGGCATATCCCAAAGTGAACCTAGAAATATATGTAGCGCGGCTCTTTCGGCATGAAGAAGAATGCAACCGTCAAGGCCTTCGTGACCTGGTGATGAACGGAGTCACCATAAGAGTCATGAACCTCTCAGGTAACCAACCATTCCTTTGGGTGGAAAGAGAGCTGGAAGAATAAACAGGTTTGAAGGACAGGGCTGTGGGACATTTCATTTCTATGTTCTTGATTTTAGCAGGACTTTGGTGTATAATGGAGAAAAGTCATTTTCATTACAGACCCTGCATTGAACACTAATTGTCCCCTTTGTTAGTCAGAGCTGCGAGGCCAAGGACTGGCTGCAACATGCAAATAGAACAGTTTTCCCTGTTATTTGTGGTCTCCTCGGGCAAGAATAAACTACACACTCACCAGGGCCCATCCTCTTCCAAGGATAAATTGCAAATTTCATTTTCTAGTGCCATCAAGAGACTTTCATTAATATCAATCTTTAATTCAGTGCCAAACTGGAGCTTTTCTTTGATAAAAAGATTCTCTCTCTTAACACACCAGTTCAATAAACTCAGCAAAATAGAGAGAACAAAAAACATCTTTTTTTTTTTCAATAGTCTGACAAAGTACATTCACCTGCATAACCCCCCGGTTATGCACCTGTCCAGTATTTTAGAATAAGAAAATTGAATACAAGTACCTGGTTTGTTAGCCACATGCTATGTAATATGGTAGCATTCTGTTCCGTAAAGAGATGTGATGTTTCTAATACCGTATCATGTTTTTCTAAACCAATGATTTTCAAACTTTTTTTCTCATGGTCCAACTGAAGAAAATTGTTGATGTCCGTGACCCAAGATAATTATATCTTTTGACTAGAGTGTGGGCTCCAGGCTGGGGCTAGGAATGAGGGGGTTTGGGTGCAGGAGGGGCTCAGGGCTGGGGCCAGGAATGAGGGAGTTTGGGTACAGGAGGGGCTCAGGGCTAGGGTAGAGGTTTGGGGCACTGGGCTGAGCATGGGCTTACCTACAGCGACTCACAGTTAGCAGAGCAGCAGGGATTCTAAGACTGGCTTCCTACCTGTCCTGGCACCTCAGACCACGCTGTGCCTTGGAAGCAGCCAATAGCAGGTCTGAGTGCTAGGCAGAGAGGTGCAAGCAGCTCTGTGCACTGCTCTCACACACAGGTACCTCCACCCAGGCTCCCATTGGCCGGGAATCAGTCAATGGGAATACTGAGCCAGTGCTCAGGGGGAGGTCAGTGCGTGAAGCTCTGTGGCCCCCACTTAGGAACTGAACCTGCTTCTGGCCACTTCTGGGGTAGTGAGGTCCGTGGTTCCAGGACAGGGAGGAAGCCTGCCTGAGCAAGCCCCACTAGTTACCTGGTCACCCTACAGCAAAGCAACCCGGTGCCTGGCATTCCACAACCCAGTACTGGGTTGCGACTGTACTTTGAAACCCCCTGTTGTAAACAAAAGTTCACTGTTGCAATGTATATTATTTTGTCTCTGATATTTACATGGCAAGGATTTGTGAGCCTATTAAAACTTCCTCAGTAAATAAAAAGGAAAAAAGAATGCTCTGTTTTCATGGCAGTTACATAGCAATTTAATCTTTCTCGAACCATATTGACCTCTCACAGAGCAGTGAATTGCGTGGCCTCTTGACCTGTCTTTTAATTTGTGTGACTGGATAATTCTGTTTCCTCAGCTTACAACTATTGTTGGAGAACATTTGTCAGCCATCAACAGGGAGATGATTACTGGCCGTGGCACCTCACCCCATGGATAATGTTCTTTTCTTTTGAACTCCAGTTGATCCTTCAGGTTAGTAGATCTTTGGAAGGAAAAGACTCAATCCAAAGTCATGTACAGATGAGGTATCCAGAGGACACCATCATGCTAGTTCATTCATCTCTTCTGAAGCCCTTGAAATCTTTCCTAATTCTGAATGGCCATTTTCATGGCTGAGCTACAGCAGCCAGTGACTGAAGAATTCATAAGGTCAGGCCTGTATGCAGGAATTTCTGTGATCCAAGGGTGTGAATGCACCCCCGATATCCCCCAAGTAAGCATGGAAATCAGCTCTAGCCTTTCCCTGGCTGGCCAAAGCAAGGGGAAGGGAGGCACAGACCGTGCACTGCTCCTGCCTTCCCCTGGCTGGCCAGAGCATGCTCACTTGGGGAACCATGGGGACAGGGTGCTTTGGTACCCTTCACACCTCCCCTGTGTCCGGACCTGATAAGGCTATTAACTTTCCATGGACCTCTCCTGAATTCTCCTTGGATCTGAGTGACATGGTTCCATGGCAGTGCTGTAGCTCGTGGGCAGGGCCTGAGAAGTTTATTGTTCTTTTGGGAAGGCTGCATCTGCATTACATTTGAAATGCTCATGAGCCGGACACACATTTATGAAAGTGTTGCAGGTGTTTGCAGATCTTACCCATACGTGAATGATTCTAACGTCATTATGTTTAGTTGTTAACCTCCAAGTGTTTTTTAAATTAATATTTCATCTTTCCCACCTTTCCCACCAGGGATTTCGAGACAGCTTACAGATCTGCCCAGCAAGAAGCAACCAGATTCCGAGTTGTAGTCTTATTCAACCAGAGTATGGTCACCTAATGCCTCGGCAAAGGGTTAACACAGAAGCCATTCATGTGACATCACCACACTACTGGCATGAATCAGCAGCCAATCATCAGCACTCACTAGCATTTGGGCCTGGACTATCTATCAGTCACCTACAACAGCCAGCATTTAGGTCTAGACTACCAGTTAGTCATTATCAGCCACTAATGTGTGGGCCTGGACCCATTGTCAGTCACCTGCAACAGCGAATGTTTATTCCTGGACCAGCAGTCAGTCACCAGCAGCCACTAATGATTGGGCCAGGACCATTGACCAGACCTGTCTTTAGGCCAGCACTACCAGCCAATCAGCGACAGTAACAGGATTCAAGCCTAGACCATTAGCCAATCAACAGCAACAACAAAATAACAGGCTCTAGAATGGAACCCTTTGGATATTCATAGAAAAATAAATCTCTGGGAGTCACAAACCTGTGCACCCACTTTGAATTACACAAGACTATAGGACTATAACATGGTTTAAAAGAGAACTAAATAAATTCATGGAGGTTAAGTCTATAAATGGCTATTAGCCAGGATGGGTAAGGAATGGTGTCCCCAGTCTCTGTTTGTCAGTGGGTGGAGATGGATGGCAGGAGCGAGATCGCTTGATCATTGCCTGTTTGATTCACTCCCCCTGGGGCATCTGGCATTGGCCATTGTCGGTAGACAGGATACTGGGCTGGATGGACCTTTGGTCTGACCCAGTATGGCCCATTCTTATGTTCTTATGTTCTTAAGAGGGTGAGGATGTAAACTAGGGAAAACACTTTTTAACATTCTTTAGCCAACACATTTATTATGAATAATCTAAACATTTGCTCCTATGAACAGTTTTGTGAGGAAATAATTTGTGATAAATATTGATACTCCAAGACCTGGAAGACTCTTTACTCTTCCAAGCTTATTATTTAGTATGATTTTTCTGTTGGGGAGGAGGTTTTTAGATTTTGTTTTCCATTGTATTTGCAAAATTACCTTATCAATAAAATAAATCAAACATTTACTTTAGTGAGCTGCCGCTCTTATTGTTTAATTTTGCTGCTTTTTTAAAGAGTGTGCATTTTTCTTAGCCATCATAATGACTGTGGCAGCACTAAACCACTAATGACCTACTGTGAGACAAAAGTGTCACCTCAGCAATATTGAAACTATCCAATAAATAGAGGCCCAGCACCTGGATTTTTTTTTAAAAAATGCACTGATTAATTATTATTACTAGCATTACCCGTCCCATTGTGACTGTAAACGTACACTCAAGTTTGGAGTTGATCTGGTTTGGAGTTGCTGCTGGGCTCCTTCACTGGTGCTCCTTTCTCTTGCACCCTCACCGTTGGCTGCAGTTCCATTCTCAGGCAGCCCTCATGGTGACGCTCAGCCCTGTCTCAGGCTGCACCTGCTGAAGGGCTCAAGCCCTTTTGCTTCTGTGGGGTTGAAGCCCTGTTCCCGGGCAGCCCCACTGCGGAGATGAAGCCCTTTCACCGCCGTGGGGTTCAGCTCCATTCCCTGGCACCCACACCTCCCCCCGTGGGGCCCAGCCCCATTCCTGGGTGGCCTCTGCCATGGGCTGAAGCCCTTTTGCCACCGTGGGGCTTGAGCCCTCCAGGAGGGCTGCCTGGGAACTGGGTAGAGCTCTGTGGGGCGGGGCCACCCAGAAATGGAGCTGAGCCCCATGGCAGCAAACACGGCTTCAGCCCAATAGTTTTCTCACTCATTCTGGCATTTTCTAGAAACTTCTTGAGTCTTCCAGAGCAGTCTCAAATGTTCCCTGTGACAGACGGCGTGACGGATGCCTCTCCTTTTATAATAGTTTAAATGGTTTTGTAGAAGCCATTTTATGGTTAGCTAGAAGCCATCTTGTATATCAGAAACCATTTCAGCTTTTCTCTCAAGCACGTAGACCAGAGTGAACTTTCTGTCACCCCGTGAGAAGAGGCCTACAGGATGGGCTATTGGTATGTGTTAATTGGGCTGGTTGGGACAGGAGATGTACTCCCTCGAACCTGTCTGCCATCTTGTTGCTAAGGCTTTGTTTTTCCAAATTTAATTGAGGATTTCTGTAATTGGATGCCCTGACGTCAGACTGTTTGGTTAAGAGTATAAAGATACTAGGATTGATTGTATTAGTAGCTTTACTGGGTCTGGCTCTGCTGTGACCACGTTTGGCTCATGCTGTGCTTTATTAATTAATAAAGCTGCTTGTTAGCTGCCTAAACACAGAGAAGCGTGTTTTTGCTTCGACATCATCCTTCTCCAACCTCTGACAGACAGAGGCCAGGGACACCATTTTATCCCCTGGCTAATAGCCTTTTATGGACCTAACCTCCATGAAATTATCTAGCTTCTCTTTAAACTCTGTTATAGTCCTAGCCTTCACAGCCTCCTCTGGCAAGGAGTTCCACAGGTTGACTACACGCTGTGTGAAGAAGAACTTGCTTTTATTAGTTTTAAACCTGCTACCCATTAATTTCAT